AGGCGACACACGTGAAGAGCGAACTGTCCCGTCGGTCGGCCTTTTTGATGATCACCTCCGAGACGATGCCTTTGGCGGTAATGCTTTCGTTGAGCTGATAGCGGCTGTCGGCGGCAGTGCTCGAGCTTATGGTGTCGGCGCTGGACATCATATCCATCTTATCGATCTTCTGCTTATCGCGAGTCCATGTGATCCCAATGGGCCGGTCGCCCATCGCCTCGCACTTCAGTTTAATGTTATGTCCTTTTCGTACCATTTCTGCCGTGAATTTCGTTTTGAAATGAGCGGCCACTGCATCGGTAGGGGACAGGCGTGTGGAGTGAATACATAGAGATTTGAGTTCAACGACAATATTCAGTGAGAATTGAATGCAATTCAATAGAAATAAGTGATAGAATTTGCACAAAGAATTGCAAATTTATATAACATTTTCTCTCAATTCGTGAAAAAAGTGAACATTAAATGCAAAGTAAAGTTAGAAAATATTTCCCATATTAAGTGGTGAACACACAAAAAGCTTAACAAAACTTTTTTTAGGCCCCGGAATACAAATGTGTTTCACATTATATTTCATAAATTTATATACTGTATATATGGGATGAACAGTGAAAAGTGAATTAAATTTAATCGCATCAATAAAAATATAATAAAATGCTATAAAAATATCGAAAAATATTGTATAAAATAAAATTCCGACTCCTAGTGCTCTGTGGGTCAACACATAAATACCAAAAAATAACATTTGATAACATATTTCAACGAGTTTTTATTCACATATTTTTAAAATTATTAATAAAATGTTTCCAAACACTTGAGAAGTGGTTTTATATGTAATATATTTCTCGTAAGAATTTATATATTTTTTTCTCTCAATAGCCATCAAAAGAGTTATAAAAATTTCAAGATTTATTATATTTATTGGAAATGGATTTAGCGGGCATACCGTGAACGCTAATCTTGACGACTTTGCTCAATCCCTGTCCGATGCCATTTTGTGCCTGACACAGATAGAAACCCTGGTCCGTATCCCTGGCCTCCTGTATGGAAAGGGAGCCGTTTTCGTACACTTGAAGGTGCGGTCCGCTAATGATTGGCTTGAAATCCTTTGGCTGAATGTCTGTAATTACAACATCGGGTACACAAAAAAAGTTCAATTAAATACCAATTAATTATTTGGAGTCCTGAAAGTGTTTTACATATCATTAAAATAAAGTTTTCCGAAACTCAAAAACCAATTAATCACTGAATGCTCAATGAATTTGAAAAATAAGTCTTTAATTATTCCGAGAATATACATAAAATTCTTTAATTAAATTCTATAACATTTTCGGTGCAATAGTCAGTGGATAGGCTTAATAAATATTAATATATTTTTAGTTTTTATTTTCTTGAATCTAAACGAGAATGACTTTTATGAATCCACAAGAATTGTGGCCATAATTTATACAAAAATATTTTTCTTTTTTCATATCATATCTCTTGTATAATACATAATATAAAACTGAGTGAATGAATGGCACAGAAAGTCCGGTTCACTCTCTCTAAACAAGTTATTTACTGTCTATTGAGTTGTAATGATAGGGAAAAAGCAATTTATTTCATTAAATGAATCAAAATTATGAGAAGTTTTCTCAAGAAATACGGAAATGACTTATAATTTATTAAATAAAATATTACGAAATGATTACTCACTTGAAGACGATTTGGTCCAAATAATCCTGGGATACGGATAGCCCTGAGTGGCGCAGTCGATGGTTATACTCCTTCCCCTAACCACAGACGTGTCACTCGGCTCTACTGTCCAGCGAGGAGGCACTGGTAGGCAATGGGAATGGGAGACGCTATGGTTATATATAAGTCATATCGTATATAGGAGTGATATATGGATGGAGATGTCAACCGAAAGTTCATATCAAATAAGTTTGTCACAAACGGCCCAAAGCTATCAGAAATATTGAAAATTTATGGAAATCTAATGCTAATAATGGCGATAACATTCACTTTCGGACTTATATTCATATATTCTTAGTCTTTCAGACAATATTCTGTACATAAATATTGTATATAAATAATGAATTCCTGTGAATTCTCTCTTATCATTAAATGTTTTGTTTTTTATTAATTATTCTTTTGGTTAATAATAATTAGATACTAAAAACAATCTGCTCTTAAATGGCATAACCGTGTAAATTGATCCCAGCGAAATTCTTTATAATTATTATGTAATAAAATTGTTTACGAAAATATAAAAACTAGCAAAATAAACATTTGTTACGCTATATTTATATAAGGAATCAAATGAATGGGAATATTATTCAAATAATTGGTTACAAAAATATCTATCGGTTGTCCTATTGTTATGAATGTGTAGCGAAAGAGTAGGCAATTATTTATATAATAAATACAGTTGTGTTTGAATGGTATGGAGAGAGAGAGTGAGAGTGAATGAGTGGATCAGAAAAGATGAGATGAAATCAATGGATGATAAACTAGTAGCGAATGAATGGCTGGGAATGTGTGGACCAAAAAACATAATACAAAAACCCAAACACAACACAACGGCTTAAATGAGCGGTGGTTTGACAGACGGAAAAACATACACTTATATTCTCACTATATATTAATGCCGTTTGAATCCAGAGATGTATTATATATTGTATTAGTATTTGTATTAGCGATTGGAGAGAGAGAGAGAGAGAGAGAAAGAAAGAGAGAGAAAGAGAAAGAGAGAAAGAGAGAGAGAGAGAGAGAGAGAGAATAGTTATAATTAAATATAAAAATAGGATTTAAAGAATATGTTTGAAATTATATTCATAAGAATAAAAATGGTAACGAAATAACGAAAGAGTTTAAGAGTTAATGCATTTCTGCACGAAACGCTCAACAAATTAAAACAATTTTTTATGCATTATATAAATAAAATTGTAATGATATCTAAAATAAGACATTTGGAGAAAACGAGTTATTTTGTGGAAATATTTATATAAAACAATTGAAGGTTGTGTTTGATCGAGAAACTATACGCTAATTAATTTACGATACAATACATTGAGTTGTTTGATGAATAGATAATTAATGTAAATATTGTATTTATATATAAGACTATATTACAAAATAATTATTACAAAATTAATATTAATATAAAAAGTAATGACAAATTTGTTCGGACACATTTATGGATAAAAGATATTTTGAAATTTTTCCACTTTTTAAAAAATAGCTAAATTGACAAAAATATTTTCATTTTCATACTCCCAATTGACAATTTTTTAATCAATAATCTTGCAAACTAAATAAAAAACAAAAAATTTTCATTTAAAACATGAGTATACATTAAAAAACAATTTTTGCCTTATTTTTAACGGTAATAATCCATTTGCTAAAATGTTTTGTTAGGAGTTTTTTCGTAACAAATTTCGATGGTTAGTGAAGTAGAAGAGAATAAGTAGTAAATAAAAAAAATAAAATTAATTATGGATTGGATTTGTGAGTGAATGCACACAAAACAATGTTTTTTACGTTTAAAAATAAGACAAAAACACAAAGTGGAAAACTATTCAAAAAAGCAACACTAAAAACATATCGACTTTTTGTGTCAAGAATTGGTTGAGGAAGTGATAAGTTGAACGGTAGGGCACACTATAAATAATACAAATAATAATAATAACCGATTCAATAAGTTATTATTACATGTTTGCTTTGTTTTCTAAATTAATTAATTAAAAATTAAAAACAATATAATAATTAAAAAATGGCATCAAATTTGAAAAAACAATGTCTTCACAGTCTTCAGAGATGTGTGGTTTGCGATTCAATCAACGAAAAAAAAACATAATAATAAAACAATTGGAAAAACTTTTTCTCTCTTCGTAAAAAACATTTTGCAATTCAATTGTGTGTTTAAAAAACAGTTTATCACAGAATATATGATTTGAGGTCCAAATTATTATTAAACTACAATTATTATTAAGTTATTACGACGACGACGAGAGGGGACGGGTATGCGGCGCTCAAGTATCCTGCGGTTTACACATCAGTGAATGAGATGCACAACAGTTGCGTTTAATGTAATCGTGTTTACAGTATTTGTCGCCAAATCTCTCGAGGAATTGGGTGCAAGTGAGCGAACCGGCCATACGCTCCACGTTGTTCTGACACTCCGTGGCTACCGGTGCCGGTGGGGCCTCCGCTTTGATCGCCGTCTGATTCTTGACGGCTACCGGCGCTGCGGCCACTTGCGGGGACTCCATGGTGGGCGCCGCCAGTCGTATGTAGGGACTGCCCGCGTTTCGGGCCAACCCCTGACGGTTCCGTAATCTCGGGAGCCGTCGCCCGGGGGTGGTGTCAGAGCGGGCCAGTATGCGGTCCGTGTTGGTGGCGGCGGGTGCTGGCAGTCGACTAATGGTTTGCGTGACGTGAGTGTAGTCGGGAATTATATTCTCCATTTCCGCCAAACACTTGCCGTTACGACAGATCTAAACACGAGTTTGAAATAAATTGCATTTGAGTTTTGAGGCGACAGAAAGAAAAGGAGTTTTTAATGAAGTCTATAATGAGATGCAAATTTCAAGCTACCTGTCCGTCGCCACACGGAGAGCCTTCAGCCGCAGGTCTATAGGAAACACAATAACCTGAGGCGCTGTCGAAGCAAAAGAGTTGAGCACAAACTCGAGCGTCTTTCTGATGGGTGTCATGACATACACACAGAGAGACACAAACCGATGGTTAGATAATCAATAAGGAAATGTATGATAAGTGCGATAATCGACTCACAAAGCAGGCGTTGGTTCCTCTGTCTCTTTTGCACTGTTCATCCAGCGATAGCATAGTTCCCGGCAATACTCGGGGCAACAGTTGGTTTTCGTGCGGAAAGTTGTACAGACATGTGGCCGTCTCTCCACTTCAATGAAACAAATTAAACATTAGATGCGCTTATCTATGAATCAATTTGGCGAAAATCATTTGTTAATTGAATGGCTTTCAGACATACTTTAAAAAATGTTTAAACTGTTCGACACTACAGGATGACCAGCGAAAGCCACGCTCTGTATGCCTGAGATCGCTCATTATGAAGCCGTCCTCCCAGGGACAGCGAGTGGCACCGGGACCTCCTAAATAGCTGGGCGGTGGCGACCCGTCGTGAACACAGCCCAGACTTAAGCGTAGAAAATAAATTCATTTATTAAGATAAATATATCACTAAACACGGCAATTGATTGTTGACATACAGGTGCCCGACTTCGTGAGCGGCCACAATGATGCCGCTGAATCCGCCGCTGTCCTCAATAATAGCCACAGAATTCACTTTTTCGAGCCGTTTGTTGACAACACAGGCGCCGCCGACGTACGCAAAGCCGGCGGTCCCGCGATTACAGCGGCCGCCCTCATACCGGCGCCGACACATATCCAGTTTGGTGATGACAACCGCTAAGTCATACGTCGGCAAACGGTCTTCTCTGTACAAATACTTTCCCATATCAGTGAGAGCACCGGCAGCGTCGACAGCGTCGGCATTAGGCGATCGTAATCTGTTGCGCTCCAAATAAGGAGTTGCGTCCCTATCCTGAAGGCATACCACAGATCAGATCAATACATGTCTCGTGTTATCAGTGTTTTTATGAACAAAAATAAGACAATCAAACGGCACATCACAGAGAAAGTGATAAGTGATTGCGAAAATAAGTGTAACCTATAAACTAGTTTCAGCGACAAAGGAGTGGGTGATAGAGCGGGTGAGACATACCTTGGCTACGATCATACCGGCCAGACTGACCCGGATCTGCGGATGGGTCAGCAGTTTATACCGCAAGTCGACGCCGTTCCAGAAGCTTATGAAATAGCGTTTGACATCACGACTGGTGGCGCCGTGTAATACATAGGAGTCGTAGTCGACGACTAACAACACCTCCGGCCATACGGTGTTCGGCGCCTGACGTTTGGTGCGACCCGAGCGACGCTCGTCCGACGAGTTGGTCGTCAAACCACTGACCGTCCAGTTGTGATTGGGTGCACCTAATTGGCTAAACTGTGAATCTAAATCCACTGTTCATGCGATAAAAATAACAGTTGAAATACAATTAAAATCCATTTTTAAGTCTATTGTGTACTGAAAGCTATTTTTGTGATTCAAGAAAAAAAACTCACAATAGTCTGAATGATAAGTGTTTTGCGGGTCAAAGAGATTTCTTTTATATACGAAGTGAGTGTTTCCTAAATTCGTTGTATTATTATAACTATTTTTAGTATAACTACTGGCAGTGCTAATCGGCAGTGGCTGTGAGGGTGTCCTCCCAGTGCTGTTAAGCGACTTATTTTGCGTTACGTTTGGACTACTATTTGAATGATTGATGCGTTTGTTTTCAATGGCCTCGTCTTCATCTAAGAACATCTCGTCGTCTTCGTCGTCGGCGTTATAGCGAAGATACTCCGAGTTATCGGCGCTCACCGTCTGAGGAACTGGTCGTATGACTAAATCATTACCGATCGTCCCGTGCAGCTGTAGACTGCCGTCCGAGTTATGGTCGACCAGAATAGCGGCCATATTTGACTTGTCGTGATATGTGGTGCCGACGGCGGCGGGGCTGTTGTCGGGACCGGTGGGCGCTTCGCTGTACCGCAACTTCCCGTTTCCGGTCGTCTCCGCCATAAACACTTTCATGTCTTGGATCCGGTCGTTGAACTCATTGTTCTTCTGGAGGTTGAGCCGAAACTTTTTGCCGAAAGCCTTTATATGGATTTGTTTGGCGTTGGGGTCGTTGGTGTGGGCGCGCGGGTCGACGGAGCGCTTGTGTATGAGCCGCACGTCCGTCAGGTCGTACTCCGGCACCAAGTCGTGGGACTCCACTTGAAATACGTGTCGGAGATCATCAGCGCTCATATGCCGGTGAATCTGATGCTTTGATGGATGAGCTAATGGTTGGACGCACGTGAAGATTGCCAAAAGGTTGAGGACTAGTAGTAGCGTAAGCTGTGGTAATGTGATGCCTGTCCGCACACAGGCGGACGACCAGCGCCGGCCACTCCCCATACGAATACATGTTTGCTGTGATGCCGTGACCGCTGTGTTCATAGTTGGCACCGCCGATGGCTTTGTGGGTCCACGAGCTCTTGAGGGGCCAAATGTGGGGGTGAAGCGAATGTCACTGGTTTTAGGCGGTGGTGGTTGTGCTGGTGGTGTAGGTCGGGCTGGTATTCCTTAATCCCCAGTAAATCTCTTAAGCACTCATTGTTTCGGTGTATTTAATCCTCTATAAAAAGACATATTTTTTATGTTTAAGTTGTCTTGGTGCAGTTTTAAATCCAACGATTATGTGTAATCCGATTGGTGTATAGTGTAATCAAATATATAGTTTCGTGTACCGTATATACAAAATGCATATTCATTCACG